CAATATTCCAACCTCATTCATCAAGGAAATAGAAGAGGCAATCCAAAAATTCATATGGAACAATAAAAGACCCTGAATAGCAAAAACAATCCTTAACAAAAACAACAGTGCTGGAGGAATATCAATACCAAACTTCAAACTCTACTACAAAGCCACAGTAATCAAAACAACTTGGTACTGGCACAAGAACAGACTTCAGGACCAATGGAATAGAATTGAAAACCCAGAAATGAACCCACAGACCTATAGCCATCTAATCTTCGATAAGGGAGCTAAAAAATAGAATGGAAGAAAGACAGCCTCTTCAGTAAATGGTGCTGGCAAAATTGCTTAATCACTTGTAGAAAATTAAAGCTAGGTCCTTATATATCACCCTGCACCAGAATCAACTCCAAATGGATCAAAGACCTTGCAGTCAAAGCAGACACTCTGAAAACATTACAGGATGGAATAGGAGAAACCCTAGGTCTCCTTGGCACAGGCCGAAACTTTCTTAATAGAGACCCAGAAACACAACAATTTAAAGAAAAGTTGGACAAATGGGATTGCATGAAATTGCAGAGCTTCTGCATGGCAAAGGACATAGCTAGCAAGATCAATAGAAAGCCCACGGATTGGGAGATCTTCACTAGCTATACAACAGACAAGGGTCTCATATCTAAAATATACCTGGAACTCAAAAAATTAAATCCCACAACAACAAATCCTCAAAGAAGCAACTGCCCGATAAATAAGTGGGCTAAAGACTTAAAAGAGAACCTTAGAAATGCTCAACCTCCCTAGCCATAAAAGAAATGCAAATCAAAACAACATTGAGATACCACCTCACCCCAGTTAGAATGGCTGTAATCAAGAACTCTAATAACAATAGATGCTGGAGGGGATGTGGACAGAAGGGAACCTTACTACATTGTTGGTGGGAGTGTAAACTTGTCCAACCACTTTGGAAAGCAGTATGGAGGTTCCTCAAAAGCCTCCACATAGAGCTCCCCATGACCCAGCAATCCCACTTTTGGGCATTTACCCAAATGATCACAAACAAGACCAAACTAAAGCTACCAGCACAACTATGTTTATAGTTTTAGTTTTATCAAAGAACATAAACTATACTATTGCTAACATAGCAAGCTTATATTGATATTTGCATTTGGGAACTAAAATCTGTTCAGTTTGGTGACTGTTTCTTGAGATTTTAATAAGAAGGTATGTTTGTAATTTCTAGAACCTAGAACTACACACATGGGCACACACACACTCACACCTGCATATTACATTTCATACACAATAGTTCCCTTTTGTGGTTTCACTTTCTGTGGCACAGTCACCCATAGTCAGATATTAAATGGAAAATCTCAGAAATGGGAAATTCCTAATTTGCTTTGTTGCAGCAATGAGTAATGTGATGATAGTTCATGCTATCTCACTCCAATATGCTTGAGACAGGAATTATCCTTTGCTCAATGTAAACACACTATCTGTACTACCTCCCCTTCGGTCACTTAAATCCATCTAAGGTATCAGATTGTTACAGTGTTACAATGCTTATATAGTTAAAATAAAATAAACAAAGCTTTATTTTATATAATAATGGCTCCCAAGTGCAAGAATGGTTATGTTCACAATTTTATTACAATAAATCATTGTAAATTTGATTATAGTATATTGTCTTTTTTGTGTGATCTCAGAAACTCTGTTCTTGATATTGCTTCCAATAACCAACTACCAGAGCAAATCATAAGAATGTGTATGGTTTTCAACAATCCACTACCAGAGCAAATAATAAGAAAAAGTTCCAGTTACCACTAAGTCCCTTATACAAAGACTCTGGGAGGCTTAGCTATATTAATCACTTACTCTCCCTCCTCTGTGAGCTCTGAGTAGTAAGAACAACTATGAGGGAAACCAAAAAATGATGTTTAAAATTACATCTTTATTAATAGTAAAACTAAACATGTCAGAACTCAAGTCTCCTGCCTAGAACCTGGACCATAAATTAGCTCAACAGGAGTCAGGAGGAGAAGGTGGAAAGGAAATAGAGAGATCTGGCTTGTCCTGGTGGAGACCTTTCCTCCCTTCAGCACCAACAGGCCAGAGATGAAAACTCTTCAAAGACAAACCTATCTGTCTCCTTTAATCTCATCTGTCTAATTAATCTATCTCCTTCCACTAGAAGAGACCAAGAAAGAAAGCAAAAACAGGAAAGTAACATGCCCATTAATGGACTGCTCCTTCTTGGCAAGTAAAAGACTATCCTTTGGTAGAGACTACTAGTTATCTACACACCAGCTATTTTTTCTTTCTCCTTAGCAACTAAGATTTTGTTGTTTATTTATTGTTTGTTCATGTGTTTGGAATGATGATATTCTCAAGTTAAACATTTAATTTCCGTGTCTGCCTTGCAAGTAGGAGTGGCTAATGTCAGTAGATAGGACTCCTTGAGCAGGTAAAGCACTCTTTCTCTCCCTCCCTCCCTTTCCCTCCCTCCCTCCCTCTCCCTCCCTCTTTTGTGTCATATTGCTTAAAGTGTGGACAATGCCATAAAAGCACTAGGCACTTGTAAAGAGGAATAAAGAAAGAGTCTGAGTTCAGCATGAGCATTGTCACATCAGCCCTGGACTGCCCACTTCTAGATCCTTTTTAAGTTAAAAAAAAACACTTGTGTTTATGCCACACCAGTTAAGCCTTTTGGTATGAAACACTTAGTAAATGATAAGCGTTATTTATAGAAGTGTGAAGGGAGAGTGATGTGTACCAAGGCTGAATCAGGCACTAACCCCTTTCTGTCTGCTCCTCAGAATACAGGACAGCACCTGTGTTTCCTCCTAAGTGTCTCTCCTACCTGTTTAGAATGTGAAAGAATATGTAGAATGAAACATTAAGGCATTCTTCCCTATTCTTCAAGACATAATAACCCCCTAATCATGACATCATTCTATTGGACATCAATAATGATAGTACTTTTGTGTTTCTAACTTACAACTGACTGCAAATTAGAGCCATAAATCAGGTTCAGAGGTATGGATTTGGAAGTCACTATGAAATGCATGGGGACTGAAGTCATGGCAGATACCATAGGAAAAAGAGCCAAGAGAACTAGACTACAGACTGAACCAAGAAGAATCTCATTCTTTTTCTCTTTTGTTCCAGTGCCATAAAACTTCCCTGTGATCACTTTAGGTCCTCAGTAAAAAGAGGCTGACTTGGAAAAGATTTCATTAAGTCAAACTTAGACTTGTTCAGCTGCTCACTCTAATGGTAATATGGAATTAATGTACAGAAAATTATTACTGCGCTTTTATTTCATAATGTTGTTTTCATAATGTTGTTTTTCTGAGTTCTTCCTTCTTCTACTTAATTATACCAGTAAGTAATTCATTATTTTTCCTTTACCAATAGCAAAGTAGATCTACGTTCATGCTTCAGTTTTTTCTCCTCATGGGACAGTGTGGTTGGCTTCCACCTCCTACTCCTCCTGCCTCAGCTTCTAGAGTACTGGGATTACACACATGCTCTATCACCTAGCTGCTTTTCCTTTTTTTTTTTTTTTTGGTCATGGGGCTTGAAATCAGGGCATGGGCACTGTTGCTGAGCATTTCTGTTCAAAGCTAATGCTCTACCACTTTGAGCCACGCCGCCACTTCTGATTTTCTGGTGGTTAACTGAAGGTAAGAGTCTCACAGAGTTTCCTGCCCTGGATGGCTTTGAACCATGATCCTCAGATCTCACCCTCCTGAATAGCGCTAGGATTACAGGTGTGAACCACCAGCCCTCAGTGTTTCCTAATTTTTGACCCTTCCTAATATTTCCATGTACATAAACACATACAGTCCTAGGGAAGATAAGGTTTAGCCAGGCCCAGGAGGGTGACCAGCAGAGGTTCAATATTATAATCCAGTCATAATAAGTAAGACACACATAGTGTAGCCTCAGTAAATATAAGTATTGTTGTAATCAAGATATAATCCGAGTATCAGCATTTTTCTCCTTCTAAAATCTTGCGAAATCTTGAAGAAAATACAGCTTGCCTCACATCATCAGTCTGCCGCACACAAGTTCTTCTCTGTGCTGCTCAGAATTCAGGACATTTTGCTGTTAGCTCCACCTGGAACACTGGACTGCCTTCATCTCAGTATGATTGTGCTATTTCCACATCAGAAAGAGAACGTGAAGGGGACTCACTTTCCTTCACTGGCTTTATCTCTTGTATTGGCAACTGTCCAGTATTGTGGAAGGGTTGGAATGAAACAGAATAGAAGAAAGAGACTGGGTAGTTTATATGACTTTCTTCATGTCCAGAAAAAAGAATCATGTATTCTTAACAGCCACCTTAAGAACATCCCAAATCCTACCCTTTGCTCACAGTGCTCACTCTTCTGCTCACAATGTGAGGTTTCACCTCCACTCCTCGACATAGGCTGGTCTGCTTCCATGTTCATGGTTATGAGCATGTATTTCTCAAATATTGAGCTATTCATACTTCCAATCTAGAGTCATCCTAGACATTCAAATATGGATCCCTTCTACCCTGTCTATGAATGAGAAATACATTATGACTCCAATGATTGTCTATGAGAGAGGGAGAGAGAGAGAGAAATGTGAAACATAAATATACTTAAAAAAATAAGAATGCCAGGCACGGTGATAAACACCTATAATACCAACACTCAGGAAGCTGAGGCAGGAAGGTTGGGAATCTGAGGCCAGGCTGGGCTCCAAAGAGAGATTCTTCTGTCTGGAAAAAATATTAAAACAAATAAATAAAATTTCTTTTTTTTAACTTTCTTTTTCCAGTCCTGGAGCCTGAACTCAGAGCCTGAGCACTGTGCCAGGGCTGGCTTGAACTGTGATTCTCATATCTCAGCCAGGATTACAGGCATGCGCCACCAGCGCCTGGCTGATATTCTTGATTCTTAAAAGGGAAGAGAAGACTGCTTTAGGAAAAACATTGAAGTTCCTCCGTCAGTTGATTCAAAAAAGGCATGTAAGTATTATGTTTACTGGGACTTAATTGCCTATAATACTACCTGACCCGTCAGAAGACTAGTCTCTTCAGGGTCTTGCCTAGAGCAAATTTAACATCTTTATTCCTCAAACTGTAGATCAAAGGGTTAAGCATTGGAACCACATTGGTGTAAAAGACTGAGGCAAATTTTCCCTGTTCTATTGATCCAGAGAAAGAGGTTGTTAAGTAAGTGAATGCCCCAGACCCAAAAAACAGAGCCACAGCAAGCAAGTGAGAGCCACATGTACCAAAGGCTTTGGATCTGCCCTCTGTAGAGGGAATCTGAAGAATGTTAGACAGAATCAATGCATAAGAAATGAAGATGCTGACACTGGATACAACAATGACAACTCCAACAACAAGGAAAAACACAAGCTCATTGACATAAGTGCTGGTGCAAGAGAGCTGTAGAAGGGGGAGAACTTCACAGAGGTAATGGTGAATGATGTTGGAATCACAGAAGGTCAGTCTCAGCATGCTTCCAGTATGGGCAATGGCCCCAGCAAACCCTATCACATAGGAACCCAGCATCAACAGAGAGCAGACCCGAGGGGACATGGTGACTGTGTACAGCAGAGGGCTGCAAATGGCCACGTAGCGATCATAGGCCATTGATACTAAGACATAGCACTCAGAATTGACAAAGAAACAAAAGAAAAATAGTTGAGTCATGCATCCTATATAAGAGATAATATTTTCTGACATAAAATCATTCAGCATTTTGGGGGTAAACACACAGGAGTAACAGAGATCTATAAAGGACAAATTGAAGAGGAAAAAGTACATTGGGGTATGAAGACTAGAATTTAGCCCAATTAAGGTGACCAAGCCCAAGTTGCCCACTATAGTGAACACATAGATCCCTAAGAACAGGAGGAAGAGGGGGATCTGGAGCTCTGGGTATTCTGACAATCCCACAAGGATAAACTCAGTCACTGAGGAACTGTTCCTTGGAGCCATTCTCTTCTGGTAAGTCATCTATGGAAACAAAGGAGAAAACACACAAGATGATGACAGACACAAGCCTTAATAGTGGGAAATGGCTCTAGCAATATAAGCTTGTACATGGATGCCTTCCTGCATCCATGCTTGTCCTCATCCCAAGCTGTTGATAGCACAACTGTGAGAGCATCACAGCTTCCCTAGGATGATCAGAAATCCAAGCTATTCTGTTAGTGTGACCAACAAAGGTTAGAGGACCCACTTGAGAGATGAAGACGCAAAATACCTCTGTTAAGGACAAACAAAGGTTCTCAGAAAGATCCAAGAAAACAATATAGCCTTTCCTTCCTCAGGTGCTAGGAGACAAGAGCTCTCCTGACCACCATTGTGTCTTCTCATTCTCTTCTTTTCTCTCCCAACCATATATTAAGTTACTAGCTGATGGGATAGATAAGCCAAAAGCCAAAGGTATCTCCTATTGGATCTCTAAAGGCTTCTGGATTCCTTTAAACCTCTTGTCTCACCTCAAAGTCAGTGTTGAAAGCAAGGGGATCAATGCTTCTCAGAGCTCTTGGATATAGATTTAAAAGAAAACGATCAGAAAAGATGGTTTAAGGCCTATGTCTTTCTTCTCTTTGGTCCTTCTCAGTGCTGGGATTTATGAGGTCTCATTCCATTAGCTTTTCATTAGCCAGTACTGCTAACAAACAGACTTGTATGTTACCTCTTCTTATTCCCTTGGTATGATGAATCAGAGGTTTTACTGACACAAATTCTCCAAGGTATTTGAGGAATAGACTGTAGTTTTTGTATGTGTATTGTCCCAGGTGGTCTCTATGAATTTCAGGAGGATGAATTCGTTCACCAGAACCCCAGCTGGCATATTAAAGGAAACTAAACTTCTTGGCCATCCTGGGGACTTGATTAGGCACAGATTCCCTAGAGAATTTCTCTGAGCTTTGTCTCTATAGGGAAGAAACTGCACTGTCTTTGTTTACACCCTGCATTAGATGTTTACGTACCATCTTGGGGAACGGGCATTCTACTCAAACTTCCATCCTGCCCTAGGGATTACATGTCATTCAATGATGAGTTTACAGGACTCGTTTTTTTCCTCTTTTATTCACGCTGGGCTTAAGCTTGGCTTTAAAGGAAAATGGTTTCAAATTTATTTACCATCATTTCAAAACTTTCATAGAAAGCTTTAAGAGGCAGCCATCAATCAATCAATCAACAGTTAGATCAATGTGATAGATGTTCTGAGAGCATTTCATAGAAAATGCTTCCAGGACCATGAGCTACTCAGAACAGTAAGAAAAACCATCACAGCAAATACCACATATTACTCTTAACTCTACTAAAGCCCACAGACAGGCCTCGACTCTCCATGAGGAGATCAAATATACACAAAAAGGTAGCATACAAATCTACTCTATAGATAGAGTACCTGAGGAATTGATTTTGCCATTCTTCAGATGATAAATCTATATGCTCTGTTAAGTGAATATTCTTTTTCAAATTTTATTTTATTGTAAAGATGCTGTAAAGAGGGGTTACAGTTACATGAGTAAGGCAATGAGTACATTACTTGTCAAGCATTGTTACCCTTCCCTTGTTGCTCTCCCACTGTCCCTTCCCTCCCTCACCCCAAGTTGTAAAGTTCATTTCCAATATACTGTCTTGTGGGTATCATTGTTGCAATTGGTCATCCTGTGTCCTTGCTATAGAGTTTTATTCCCCTCCCCAAATTAGACAAACGTAAATACAAGATGTAGGTACCAAAATGAAGTACAGTGTCAACAGGGGATATACCATAGGGGAAGAATATACAAAGGAAACAAAAAAAATCACATAGTACATTAAAACCAACAACAAAGAAAGACTTCTTGTGTCCATACCTTGGCGTTCATTTCACGTGGCATCATCTTATATGGTCATATGTACATAGCTTTTAAGCTTTTCTGTTCATCTGATAAAATTATCCTAGATGTCTACTAATTATTGCAAATGAGGGAAACCATAAGACATATATTTCTTTGTGTCTGGCTTATTTCACTTAATATAATTTTTTCCAAGTATTTCCATTTCCTAACAAATGGGGCAGTGTCATTCTTTCTCATGGAGGCATAGAATTCCATTGTGTGTGTGTGTGTGTGTGTGTGTCTTTGTGTGTGTCTGTGTGTGTGTGTGTATCACATTTTCTTGATCCACTCATCTACTGAGGGCATCTGGGTTGGTTCCATCTCTTAGCTCTGGTGAATAGTGCTGTGATAAACATAGTTGTGCTGATAGCTTTAGTATGGTCTTGTTTGTGATCATTTGGGTAAATGCCCAAAAGTGGGATTATTGGGTCATAGGGGAGCTCTATGTATAGATTTTTGAGGAACCTCCCTACTTCTTTCCAGAGTGGTTGAACAAGTTTACATTCCCACCAACAGTGCAGTAGGATTCCCTTTTGGCCACATCCCCTCCACATCTGTTATTATTACATTTCTTGATTATACCCATTCTAACTGGGATGAAGTAGAATCTCAATGTTGTTTGGATTTGCATTTCTTTTATGGACAGAGAAGTTGAGCATTTCTTCATGTGTCTATTAGCCATTCTTATTTCTTCTTCAGAGAAGTCTCTCTAAGTCTTTAGCTCGCTTATTAATGGGGCAGTTGTTTCTTTGAGGATTTGTGTTTGGAAGATTTAAGTTTTTGAGTTCTAAGTATATTTTAGATATGAGGCCCTTGTTTGTTGTATAGCTAGTGAAGATCTTCTCCCAGTTCATGGGCTTTCTGTTGATCTTACTAGCTATGTCCTTTGCCATACAGAAGCTCTGCAGTTTAATGCAATCCCATTTGTACAACATTACACTGATTTGTAATGGCTTGGGGTCTTTATTAAGAAAATTTCGTCCTGTGCCAAGGAGCCCTAGAGTTTTTCCTATTCCTTCTGTAATGTTTTCAGGGTGTCTGCTTTTATGTGAAGTGAATATTCTAAGATTTTAGAACCTATGATTCTAAAATCTCATGACATTTGAGCATCTGCATTTGTAAGTTTCTAGAGCGATTGCCTAAAATCATCCAGGTTTACGTAGGATTGTCCATTATCCTTGTATAATATAGCACTATGATTATTAGTAACACTCACTCTCAAAAGTGATTGGATTTGGATTATAACTTTTATGGTCACTCTACTAAAAAGAACATAAACAGTTATTCAGAATTCCTGGCTCCTGTGGTCTCCTAGATCACTGGCTTCCATCTTTTTTCATATCAGTCTGTGTCTGTCATCTCCTGTACCTTCAAAGACCTCCTTAACTAAATCTATCCTATAGCCAATAGTATCTATACAGTGGACCTTGGTTTTGAAAATAGGAAAGGAATACACTAAGCTGTTTCTGATTAATTGTAACCAAAAATCTTAAGGCAAAGAGATCAACCCTTGACTAAAATAGATGACAAAGGAAAAAGAAAAGAAAAATTACATTTGTACCAAGAATAGAATCTGTACCGTACATTGTTACACACCATTGTATATGGATATAATAAATTGCATAGTACTGTTTCACAAACTTGAATATTTACACACACACACACACACACACACACACATGAAGTTGTAAAACTGGAATTGAGAATCAGGCAATAGTTCCTCTTGGCCAGGAAGTCATAGGTTTGCAACTTAAAAGCTATATGAAAAGTTCTTGGTGATTGATGGTAATGCTCAGGTTCTGAAAAATATACTAGTTCCACAAATCTATTTAGTTAGCCAAAAATCCATCAAGCGGCTGGTGCTGGTGGCTCATGCTTGTAATCCTAGCTACTCAGGAGGTTGAGATCTGAGGATCACAGTTCAAAGCCAGTCTGGGCAGTAAAGTCTATGTAACTCTTATCTCCAATAAACCACTCAGAAAACCAGAAGTGAGTGGAGCTGTGGCTCAAGTAGTAGAGTGCTAGCCTTGAGCTGAAGAGATGAGGGACAGTGGTGAGGCCCAGGGTTCACACACACACACACACACACACACACACACACACAATCCATCAAGCTATATATCTTTATGTCATACTTTTAAAAGTTTATTTAAAGCCTCAGTGAAGAAAAAAATAAATCACCCTACCAAACTAGTTTAAGACTAAAAATTATTGAACATTGTCGAGCCATAATCCCCTCATTTGTAAAATACGTATTTACTGACCTGACAACTCAGTATAGTAGATCATGCAAGAAAAATAACACTGTTTTTTGTTTCTCATCTGTCTTGTGTCCCTTAAAATAAAAACCTGTTATATTTTTCTTATATACAAGGAGGAAAACAAGAGAAAAGAAAAGGAATGCATATGGAGCAGCTATAGAGTCTTTGGCATCATTCTGGGTGTTTTCTAATTGAATATTGTGTTTATAACAGTTATAGAATGTGGATGCATGTGGCAGATTGTCCTTTCCGAAGAAGGCAATACCAACACACACACACACACACACACACACACACACACACACACATACACTCACACATATATAACTTGCATCCCACATCTTGGAATAGTGAGACTAACACTTTCCTGATCAATAGATGGGTTCTCTGTTCCCTATCCTCTTGGGATATGCTTTTAACCAACAAAGTATGGTGGAACTTGTAAGGTCCATTCCTGGACGGAGAACAGACCTCAACCAGTACCTGCAACTGGGACACCTGGAAGAGGTCACATCTGCATCCGCTGAGGTCACATCTTAATCTGATGTGGCCATACCTTTCTCCCACCTGATCCCACTTCCCTTTACCTGGACACACCTTCCCCCCCCCCGCCCCTACCCTACATAAGGCCTAACTCGGGACCAGATGCTCTTTTTTGCCAGCTGTGTGGAGTGCCAACCTTGCCTGGTCCCAGCAGGTCTACTGAATAAACCTACCCCTTACCTGAATACCACGTGCGTGGTGCTGTTCTTACTCGGCTACCTCTTTTTAAAAACCTAACAGAACTGATGCTATGTTATGTCCAAGGTGAAATCAAAGTAATACAGAGCTTTTTTCCTTTCTTTCTTTCGTT